TGTCTCCAACAGTATTAAACTGTCTTAGACAATAATATAAATAATATAACTAGTTGGGAAAAAAATAATATTCATAATATAACTGTCCCAAACAGTAATATTACTGTCTAGAGACAGTAATTTAGTAGTCAAGACAGTAATATTAATTAAAATATTTTTTTTCTAAGAAAAAACAATTCAAAAAAAAAAAAAAAAAAAAGTCAACGCCGGAGCCCGGCGGTCAACGCCGGAATCTGGCCGGAAAAAAAATTCAGGAAAAAAAATTTTCAAAAAAAAAAAAAAAAAAAAAAAAAAAAAAGTCAACGCCGGAGACCGGCGGTCTCCGGCGGTCAACGCCGGAATCTGGCCGGAAAAAAACATTTCAGAAAAAAAATTATTTTCTGAAAAAAAAAAAGTTTTGGGGGTAAATGTGATATATTTGTTTAAATCCGGGGTCAATGTGTAATATTAAGGAAGTTAGAGCATAATGGGTGGAATTGTTAAGAATTATATTATTGAGGGTATTTTAGACTAAAGACATGGGGATGGGCTTAATTGAGAGACTGTTTTTTTTGTGGACTAAAATGCATTTAAGTCCCATGTGATGGGCCTTTTTGCCATTTGCCCTATATTAAATGAAAGTGAAATGCTTCAAAGTACTATTCCAAAACTTCAATCAGGAAACATAAATTCAAATTTAAATCAAGCAAATTCATTTATTAATTTGCAGTGAAAAGTTAAAAAAAGAAAAAGTAGAGGTGAACGTTGGAATGGATTTTTAAATTATTTTTATTTTCGTATATATAATAAATCAAGAATAAATTATTCAAATACATAATTGTTTTAATATTATAAATATATATTTTGTGAATCAAATCTTTAAATATATTAAAACTAGAGTCGCATAAAAAGATGGTTTTGTGATTTTTTTTTTGTTTACTTCTAATCCTGATGTAATTTTTTTTTCTTTTTTTTTTGGAATAGATCGGAATCTGAATTTTGAAAATCAAAATGAGAAAAACTTTGTTTTAAAATTGAAACCACCGGCGAAATTTGAAAATTCATTCCGACTTTCACCCAAACTGATATTTTCTTATATTTTTCATTTTGTATATGAATAAATATAACGTGTTCGACTTAATTTAAGAAAATAATTTGAATTTTAAATGGATAAATTAATTTTGCATAAATTCAACTTTTTTCTGTAAAAAATATGCACCAAACTCCCATTTGTTACAAAAAAAAAATCATAGAATCCAGCGGTGTTTTTTTTTTTTTTTTACCGAAAATGGAATTTATGCAAGGAAATTAAAATGGGCAAAATACAATTTTCATCCCTCAAGTTTTCACTGATTTCATATTTGGTCCCTCATGTTCACAAAAATACATTTGGTCCCTCATGTTTAAAAAAAACAACACTTTTAGTTATTTCCGTCAATTTTACGTTAGTAATAACGGAATCAAGTATGTGTCCATCATTTCCTTAATTGACGAACTAACGATAAATTGACGTAAAGGACCAAAAATGTTAAATTATTGAAACATGAGGGATCAAATGTGTTTTTTATAAACATGGGGACTGAATATGGAATAAGTACAAACTTAAGGGGTGAAAACTATAATTTTCCAAAAATAAAATAGACCGGGATTTTATGTAATAAAAGGAACATAAGGGAGTTGGGTGCAGATCTTCATTAAAATATTGGATTTTTATTTTGTTTACCCTTTCAAATTTCAATGCATGGGGAATTTTTCCTACGAAAATTGATTGGTTTTCCGTTTTAGAATATCGCGTTATAATGGAATTCAGTGGTTGCCAAAAGTTCAAGAAATAAATGGGTAAGGAATAATATACTGAGTAAACTGCAAAAAGTACCCCTGTGTAATCTCTAAATCGAGAAAACCCCTCTATGATAAATAAACTAGCAAAACCCTCCCTGTGAAATTATTTAAATAGCACACTCGGCCCATTTATTATTTGAGTGTTGACTTCATATAAAAAGACACAAATACCCACGAAATTTTGCAATTAATAAATTCTTATATTTTTGAAATATTTTAATTATTTTATTTTTGCTATATCTTAAGTATAAAGGTACAATGGGGTCTTTAATTTATTTTTATTTTTATTTTTATTATCACATAATTTTTGTATATATTTTATATTTTCGCTACATCAAAAGAAAATTTAAATTCCGTTATTATGTATTTAAAAAAATCTATACTTAATTTGATTAACAATTTTTTTAATAATTTTTAAATTTAATTATTTACTATTTTCTAACAATATTTTAATTTCTAAACAATCAAATTAAAAGGAAAATATATATACATATAATATATATACATATAAATACATTTTTATGGTCAATTTCGTCATTTCACGTCCAAAAACCTACTACCAGTCGCGCAACCCGCGAGTGAGCCACACTTAAGTCAACCGGGGGGTTTTTGCCTTTGATTAAATTTCACAGGGGGGGTTTTTGCTAGTTTATTTGTCACAGGAGGGTTTTGCTATTTGGAGATTACACAGGGGTACTTTTTGCAGTTTACTCATAATATACTTTGGGTTTGGTTGGGCTACTGTTTTACTCTTTAGATTCAGTAAAATCTCGATAAATTAATAACATCACTTAAATAATAATTTATGTCGGTCTCAACTAGGTAAAAATGTACTAAAATTATTAATTCGATAATTTAATATTTCGTTAAATTAATAAAAAGAAATTATTTATAATTGTATTAATTTAAAGAGGTTTACCTGTAGTTCGCATTATCTTTGTAATCACCTGGTGACTCTTTTATTGTTGACTCTTTCATTTTTTTTCTAAGTTTGAATGTAATAAAAAAAATATGAAGGAGAAGCAGGGTCACTAATTCGATTATTTAAAGTTCACTAGCGAACTATAAAATTCAGCATTAAAATCTTTAAATTCTCTACGAGCTATATATAAAATTAAAATTCCTTATTGATAACATTAAATCACTAGAAATGCACCATAATAGTGGAATTACTCTAATCAACATGTATCATTAATAAATAACATGAATGAAAAACACTCACCTCCGGTTTCTCCGGTTGCTCAGGTAGCTTCTCTGTCAACGATTTTCCACCATTCGTATCGACAACATCACGTGTATACGGTTTTCCACCATTGTTGTGTGCAACCGTATTTAATAGGTCATGAAGTTGCTTCAGTTGTTTAGATTTCTCGGCTTCATCCTTTGTTTTGTTATTAAATAGGACACATCTGTTTCCACACATTCTCAGAGTTTCCTATGTCAAAATTACAAACAACTAATTATGAATATTGACGAACAATTCTGCAAAGATACGACAAACATTATATGGCTTATAAATTCAAAATTCCATGTTCAGAAGAAACTATTTGTGTGATCATGAGTTCAAATCTACAACAAAATTCGAAGATTTTTTCATACCTTCAAGAGGTCAGGGGAATCATTACCACACAAGTAATCATTAAGGGTCATGTCATACTCTTCAAATTCGTCACCATTAGTGAAAACTATAATCATATAGTCCATAATTTTGGGGCCATACATTTTCTGCAACATCAAAACACCATCTTCTTCATCTCTTGAAAATCGAGTTCCAATTTTCATGACGAAAAGAATAGCATGGATACCATCCTTTGTCATGTCCATGCATTTAAGCATTTCTTTTCGAATAAATTCAGGATGAGCAGAAAAATCAAACAGTCCTGACAATTGTATTTGATTCAAGACAAAGATATTGACGAAAAAAAAAAACCTATTTTCTTTTTTATGTCATGCTAATTCAACCTGAATTAATTAATATATTTTGTAAATATATTAACCTAATTAGTAATAATATGTACGTACCTGGAGTATCAATCACAGAAAGATTCAACCCATTTTCAAGTACAGTTGTATGCTTCTCACAAGTTGCAGTAACACTAGTAGCGCTAAACATTGACTTAAATGCACTTCTTCCAAGTATAGTATTCCCTGTTGCGCTTTTTCCGCTACCTGTTCGTCCAACCAATACTATGTTTTTAACCTCACTTGGAGGTGAATACCACACCATTTCATTTTCAATTTCATTTTCCATTGAACTTATCTGCGAATTAGTAGACCAACAACCATATACACTAATTAGGTATGTAATTAATTACTCATACACAAAAACAAATAGCGATGCAAATAAAGCGGAAACTTAAGTACTCAGCCACAGTATTGTATCCATCTAGGGGCGGAATCGGACAGATTGTATTGGAATTAGAGTTTTCGAAAGTCAAAAAAGCTAGTTCCAATTCCTTATAAAGAAAAAAAAATTGGAAATCAAAATTTCAAAAATTGGAACGGAAAAACTTGTTCCAAAATCAAAATTTTTCGAATCAGAATCGGCAGAATTTGGAATTTCCAATTTTTCAATCACCTAAAATATAAATTACGTAATAATTGATATAGCAATTTTTCAAAAAATAAAATCGGACCGTAAACAGGAATCTCATATATATATTCGAAAAAATCATGAGTAACTGGAATTTTCGAATTCGAAATGAAAAATATAGCACATCAACTGAAAAAAAATTTAGAGTTTGAACATGCATGAACTAAGGTGTCTGCATGTGCGTGTATGAAAGAACCAGATAGCAGCCATACACTTATGCACTATTGGATTGTTATGAAATGAATGAAAGAAAAGTGGGAAATCCTTACAGAGAAAACAAGGAGAAAACCCAAGGTATGTCAGCTGTACTTGTATTATGCAAGCTAAGTATATAAATTGATTGGAATTATATATGCAGCTGGCCTGTTATATATATATATATATATATATATATATATATATATATATATATATATATATATATATGAAAGGTCGTGCTAGCTAGCTAATACACTTGTGGGCTTTTTAATTTTTCGGTTTCTTTTACCCTCCGGAAAAAAAAAAAAAATTCAATTGCCTTTATCTCTAATCGAATTAGAAAGATCACAGTGGACAGTGTTTGTATTAGTCAAAAAAATTTTATTTTATTTTTATGTATAAAAGTTGTCAATTTGCTTTGTCATTTTTATTTCTTGCTTCATCAAGTTGTGAAAACCGACGACTTTTATACATAAAAAAGAATGACTAATACAAACACTGTCCAAGTGATCTTTGTAATTCGATTAGAGATAAAGTCAATTGAATTTTTCATTTTTCAGAATTTAGGCCAGACCCAATTGAATTTGCTCTTGATTTTCCCCAAAAGACATTTGACATGGTAAACCGATCTGGAACATGGTTTGCACTCAACAGATTGAATAAGCATTATTGAGATTTGGCCTTCTTTTAAAAAATAAAGTATGTTTTGTATAGTTGTTTGCTCTGTCATTTTCATTTCTTTAGTTTCATCAAGTTGGGAAAGCCACGACTTCTATTATAATAAGGTTGATCAATACAAACACTGTCCCGAGTGATCTTTCTAAAGAATGAAATATTGTGTTGATTGAGTACCAATAATTATTATTATTAAAAACACTAATTAGGACCATGTCTATTTTACATAATTGTTAATTTGCTTTGTCATTTTTATTTCTTTGTTTCATCAATCTGGGAAAACCTACGACTTTTATAGGGATAATTATAGTTTTGGTTCCCCAAGTTTGCACGTTTTTCACTTTTGGTCTTCCATTTACCGCCGTCAACAAAATATACACTAATGTTGTCACATTTTAACACATTTAGTCCCTCCATCTGTTTGACCGTTAAGAAGTAACGGTCAACGATTGAATTTGGGGTTTTTCTTTGAGACAGCGGTAATGGTGGGGATAAAGACACATATATATATTCTTTTGAGAAGAAAAAAAGCGAGATATTATAAACCCCCCAAGAGTTATATATATATATATATATATATATATATATATATATATATATATATATATATATATATATATATATATATATATATATATATATTACAGGCCAGCTGCAATATATATATTCCAATCAATTTATATATACTTAGCTTGCAATACAAACAGCTGACATACATCTCCATTTTTCTCCTCATGCTTTGGGTTTCCTCCTTTTGTTTTCTATGTAAGAATTTCCCATTTTTCTTTCATTCATTTGATAACAATCCAATATTAATGTATGGCAGTTTCACATCTCACACACAAATCAAAGCCGCCTGAAAATTTTAACCGTGTTGTGGTTTGAGTTCTTCGATCGCGTTGCGCTTCATGCATACCTTTTTGCACATGTTTGTGTATGTATTATATATGTATACTTCTTATGGTACTTTTAATTTGTATGCAGTAACTATATCCATAGATCATCCACGTTGAAGACTCGTGCACTGCCTTTGAAATCTTACCTTTAGCAGGTGTTATTTATTTATTTGTTTATTATTTTCATTTTACATTTATTTATTTGTTGTCGGTCGGCGAATAACCGACTCCGTGCAAATAGATGTTTTGCTCATTTTTTAACTAAGACTACCATGAAAAGCTTTGAATTCCTGCCTTTTGTGTATGTGTGAAAATAGAATCCGATCCCTATAAATAGTTTAGGGGTAAACTACGGCCACTCTCCTGAGATAGAGTCAAAAAACTCCCTTACGTTTGGATAATTACAACTATCTCCTCAACTATCAATCTTCTTACACGTCTATCCTTGTGGTATCAAATTTAGTGGAATCTTCTAGATTATGTGTAATATTCTACAGTTTGCACCCGTTTCACCTCATTCGAGCAACACATTTTAAAACCAGATGATCATAAGATGTGTCTCTTGACTTGTATGTATCAGATTAATGTGCATGGTGCATTCGAAACTGCACATTTCGATAACAATGGACATGTAGGAGGAAGTCTCGTAGATGAGAGGGTGGTCGTAATTATTATGATGGAAAGTTTTTATTATTTGTATTTTATAACAGCGCATTTTATAAGAGT